TCATGATACACTCTTCTTCTTCTTCTTCTTTGGCGATCGCTCATAGCCGAATAAGATTGTCTTCCGTGACCACGGTCTTAACAGTGACTCCGTAAGTCTTAACAGTGAGTCCGAAAGTCCGTAAGTGTGGAGGCCAATTCTGGATCCACACGTCCTTCCACAATGGGGACATAGGTTTCCAGGTGGGAGTTGATCACAGTGAGGGTTTGCCAGCATGCCTTCCTCTTAGCTCATTTCTCCCTTTCACCCTGAGTTTGAGCATCTTCAAAGTCCATGACACCTTTTTTTTGTTTTGTTAATCCTTTATTCTTAAGTCCATGACACCTTTGGTCAAGGTTGTTCTCCAGTTGGAGTGCTCGCAGGCCAGTGTTCCCCAGTTGTCGGTGTTTATACTACATTTTTTTAGATTTACATTGAGAGCGTCTTTAAACTTCTTTTGTTGACCACCAGCATTACACTTTCCATTTTTAAGTTCGGGATAGAGTAGTTAAAATATACTGTTAGGCTCTAGGTGAAAACTTTAACCAGGCCATTGGCTGATGAACACCCTACACCCTTTTAAATGTTTTTTTGGGGGGGTATTGGTTTGTTTGTTCTTGTTTTTATTATGTATTTTGTGCTTTTTTATCATGTTGCAAACTACCCTGAGATCTATGGATGAAGGGCTGTATACGAATTTAATAAATAAATAACAATAGTAGAGTTGGAAGAGGCTTCAGAGGTCATCCAATCTAGTCCACCACTGAGCCGCTGATGCAGGAAATCCCCTGCCACAAGAACCCTGAAAGGTGGGCCACCCAGCCTTTGCTTGCAGTGAAGGATAATTCCCCACCTTGTGAAACCATCTGCTCCACTGTCAAACAGTGTGTGCCATCTGGGCGTCTTTCCTAATATTGTGTCTAAATCTTATTTTCTTGTAATTGGACAGAGTTGTGCACACCAACTACTAGATTTGGCTCGGACACCAATTCAGCACTTTGAAAATTTCCCAGTTCGGTTCAGACCCAAATCCCAATTTAGAAAAATGAAAGTAAAGCTTGTGCCTCCCTCTTTTTTTAATTATCACATGAAAAATGGCTGGGTGGGAGAGGCTATAACTTGTTTCCCTTTTGACGGAACTTGATGACACTTGTGGATAGAGTTGCTCGACACAAGTGGATGAAGCCTGCCAAATTGCAGGCAGATAGGTCCAGGGAGTTTGTGATGGGAACCTTTTCTATTTTATTATTATTTTTAAAGGAAGCCATCTGTAGCCTCTTTCAATTTTGGCAGAAATGAATGATATCTGCATGCTTGTTAGCCTCCCGTGAGAGGACGGATCCTGCCAAATTTCAGACGGAGTGCTGCCGGGGTTCTCGGGCAAGGACAGCCTTTACAGTTTGGGGATGGTTAAAGAGGAATCGCTTAATGCTTCAGATGCGCTTAGTGTGGAATTTGTACGAAAGTAGCAAACTGGAGACAGGTGTCTGTGGATCAGGAAACTGAACAACACATAGATAAATCAGCCTAGGAGTGCTTTTATATTTAGGCATCTTTAAAGGAGCGGGGTGCACCAGATTTGGCTGAGTCCTGAGCCAAATTGAGCGCATTCCGAGGGACTCTGGCATCAAATAAGTCAGGTTCAGACAGTCACAGATTCCTGCGAGTCTTGTTAGGTGGTGCAGACCAATCCGTAGCTGGCAAGGGGCGGGTGAAGAGGTGTGTGGTGGGGGCAGGCTGCCCCAGGTGTCACCACTGGGGGGGGTGACAAAATGCCGTGCGGCATTCACCACGGGGCCTGCAGCGTGCCCGAGCCACGTGTCTCTCCTGGGAGAGATGTGGTGGCTTGGACATGCGCAGGATCCGAGCTGCCCAAACGGTCCACCCGCTGCCTCCCCCTCCCCAGCTGTAGGGCGGCTGAGTGGGAGGAGGCAAGCAGACTCCAGAGGCCCCATAGTGCACCCCATCCCTATGGGCAACTCGCCCCACTCCTTTGGCAAGGGGTGGGGCATCAAGCAGGAAGCAGGGGCAGGTGGAATGGGAAAACTGCAAAAGGCCAAGACCTCCTTGACCTGTGACATCATCTTCCCATGAGAAGGCAGACCCGGCACCGTCACTCTCCTTCATGCCTGACACCCTGCAGGGTTGACGCCTCTGTTTTGTGTTGGTGTTGACCTTTAAAGCCCTAAATGGCCTCAGTCCAGTATACCTGAAGGAGCGTCTCCACCCCCATTGTTCAGCCTGGACACTGAGGTCCAGCGCTGAGGGCCTTCTGGTGGTTCCCTCCCTGCGAGAAGTGATGTTACAGGGAACAAGGCAGAGGGCCTTCTCGGTAGTGGCACCCGCCCTGTGGAATGCCCTCCCATCAGATGTCAAAGAGATAAACAACTATCTGACATTTAGAAGACATCTGAAGGCAGCCCTGTTCAGGGAAGTTTTTAATGTGTGACATTTTAATGTATTTTTAATCTTTGTTGGAAGCCACCCAGAGTGGCTGCAGAAGCCCAGCCAGATGGGCGGGGTACAAATAACAAATTATTATTATTATTATTATTATTATTATTATTATTATTATGTTGCTTCTTTAAAAAAAGAACAAAAAGGCATCCCCTTCCCAAAAATGGCCTTGAATCATGAAAGTGCTCCTTGGAAAGTAACCTGCAGTACAGTCATTCCTTGGGTACAGATGCTTCAGGTTGCGTTTTTTCAGATTGCGAACCGCCAAAACTGGGAAGTACCAGATCTGGTTACTTCTGGGTTTTGGTGATTGCGCATGCGCAGAAGTGCCGAATCGTAACCCGTGCGCAAACGTGCGGACGCAGGTTGCAAACACTGCAGGTTGCAAATGTGCATCCCACACGGATCACGTTTGCAACCCGAGCGTCCACTGTATTTCAGGTGCCAGGAGTTGTGATCCCCCCCCCCACTCCTGGCTTGTGTTCTTCTCAGTTGGAACCAAATGTCACTAGGGCAGGCGACCGGGGGCCCAGGGGGGCGGGGGTGAAAATGCAAAGCTGAGTTGACAGGAGAGGATGTGCAGGCATGTGGCACAGAGGCAGAAGGGCTTTGATGCCCTGTGTTTCCCAAGCAAGCAGAACTAGCAAACAACACAGAACAGACTGGACAGGAGCAAATGGATACATCGCTTCAGCATCCTTCCCCCAAAGCACTGTGGTCGGGGATCCCTGGTAAAGGCGTTTTCTCTGATCAGAGGCAAGGCCTGTCAGTCGCAGAAGGGCCTCCCTCCCCCTCCCCCCATATTTGCATTTTTTTTTTTATGACAAGCTTCGAGACAAACATTTCTGTTTCTGAGAAACTGAGAGAAACCAGAACAGACAGGTTTGTGGCCGCTGCCAGAGATTCTTTAGCCGTGGTTCCTGCATTACAGGGGGTTGGACCAGATGACCCCTGGAGGTCCCTTCCAGCTGGACAATTGTATGATTCTTTCCACCCCTATGTGTTCTTCTCAAAGAGCTGGTTCCCTAAGGATTCTTCAAGGTCTGGCAGCTGTCATCCAAAAATATACACCCCCACTTTCAGCCAGAAAGTGCATTTTCACACCAAGTTGTTATCAGTTCAGTGCACAGCATCTCATTCCCCGAGAACTATAATTTTCAAAATTCAATACTGGCCAAGAAAATTGCAGAAATCCATGTCCCATAAGAAGGCGGCATCAACTGGCAGGTAAGCATCGGCCATACAGGTACATGTTTTGAGCAGAAATGAGAGGGAAAATAATAATGCAATTGTTTCTTAGGATGGAGACAGACAGTTTGTCTCAGGCAGGGGTGGAGAGGCAGAACCAAATCCTGTTTTCTTCTAGCCCTGGTTGTGCAAGGAGGTTCCCTGCATGAAACTCCCTCACGAGCCCCATGTCTGGTCCAACTTGGGGACTGAAAAGTCCCCCATCGCCTGACATCATTGTGACATCAGGGGATTGGCAGGTGGAAAGCCCCACCCACCTGTCAAATTTGGCCCACAAAGCAGGAGAAGGTTCCCTACAACTGGTCTAAGGGAGCTGAAAGCGATATGGCAGGACTTCTGCCTATCATGTCTTCCTCTCACCCCATCATCTGCACTACAAAAAAGATTTTGCAGGGATCTTAGGCACTCCAGACCATGGGTGATAGCAGTGCCACCCATGGACAGCAGCCTCCCACAATCTCAGGCCGATATCTGAGCTTTGCCACAATGTGAAAACCACTCACAGAAACAGAAAGCCACTCACAGGAGTGTTCGTTGCAAATATATTTCTTTTCTGCAAGCAAATCACATGGAAGTTGTGCCGGATAGAGAGTTCTGTTTCCAGAAATGGCTGTTGCATCGTATGAAAGCTCAGACACAACATGGAAATGAACAATTGGGGAAATGCCAGGAGAATGGAAGAAACTGCCATGTGAATGCAGCCTGGTCGAGAGGCAAAGTAAGGTGGACTGCACACATTTGCAGAGCCGGCTCTGCCCTTGGGCAAAGGGAAGTGACTGCCTCAGGTGGTAGATGTTTGGTGGGTGGCAGCAGCAAGTTCCCCAGCTGTTCTTCCTAAATTCTCCTCACCAACAATTTCCTTCCATTGGAGGACTGAGCTGGATATTCTCCGCAGCATATCCTGCCCCGCACACCCAAAACAAACCTTGTGGGGTGGAAGATACTATCCTACTGCCAGTGTCGAAATAAATTGCAACTACCTGTCCACTTGGCTTCCATACATCTCCTCCTTGGCTTCAGGTGGCAAAATGTCTAGCGCTGGCTCTGCACCTTTGGTTGCAGCAGAACTAGAGGATGGACATCCTTTAACTGTGGCTCCTGCATTTGCAGGGGGTTGGACTAGACGATTCTCTGGGTCCCTTCCAACTCTACAATTCTAGGATTCTTGAGGCTGCATGGCAGAGATAGGGGACCTCTTTCAGCCCAACGGCCATGTTCCCTTCTGGACCACTTACCATGTGTGTGTGTGTGAGAGAGACGAGGAAAGCAGCAATAGCAAGCAGAGCAATGGCTATAAATTTCACCCTTGAACAGTAGGCTATCTCAGTGGTTAGAGCACGAGACTCCTAACCTCAGGGTCGTGGGTTTGAGCCCCATGTTCGGCAAAACATTCCTGCATTGCAGGGGGTTGGACTAGATGACCCCAGAGTCCCTTCCAGCTCTACAGTTCTGTGATTCTACAGAGGCCCACACGCTTTTCTCTGCCCTCTATCCAGGCAAGCAAGGACTCTCAAGAATGGTTCAAAGGAAGAGAAGGGCATGGCCTTCTGGGGGAGTCCTGAGGACCAGCTAGAGATGCCTGGGTGGCCCCTTGCCTCTGCTATACAGAGTTGAGTAGCAGCCCCACTGCATGTAGAAATAGCTCTTTGGGGTGCAATTTTACCCTAGAAACACGGAGAGCTGACTTATAATGAGTCAGACGGATGATCCATGTTGCTCATTTGTGTTTGACCACCAGCATCTCTTGAGGGATTCAACTTCTCCCTGTATCTCCCAGTCTGACCTTGAGATGCCAGGGATTGAACTCAGGACCTTTGGGATGTAAGGCAGATCCTCTGCCTCTGAGTTACATCCCTATATCCCTACAGCCTTGGCCAACTTTCCCAGGCACTATTCATCTTTTACGAGACAAGAACAGCTTATGCATCTGAGCAGGAGCTGTTCCCTCTGGGATATCCCTGCTTTCATTCCACATTATTCTCCGAAGATGTTTTCTGCATCTTTTTTTTTTTTTAGACCCTGTTAAGATGCCCAGAGGCAGCATTAGGCTGTGGGCTATATCTAACCCACAGAGAATTCCCGCTCTGCTGCCATGCGGTAACTCACCTGAGTGTCAGTAGCTCTGGGCTGCAGAGGGATGAAAGCAGTTCCAGAGGGGAAGCTGAGGCAAGCCAGAGATGTCCCACGTTGCCTCTCCCTGCCTTAAATTGTATGAATCAGGAGCATTGGGGGGGGGGGGTTGAAAGGGAAATATTGTTTGTTTCTACCTCCAGACGCAGGATTTTTAAGGAACAGAATGTGCAGGAGGTTGTCCTTACTTAGCTAACAAATGTATTATTTGATGACGATGTGTTTTACCCCACTCATACAGTGGCATGCAGAGATCAGTGAGAAGACATCCTCTGCCTTTGGGCTCACTACCTAAGAGACACGGCACAAAAGGAAAAGCGAAGGGAGGGAGGAGGAAAAAGCAAGCTCAGGCACTAACTCTTAGTAACAGAGGTTATAGCATGAGTGAACAAATTTGGGGAGGAGCCCATAGCTGCTTGCCTTTCAGCTGAGCGGATGGAGTAGCCATGCAAAGTATTATTTGCTCCAATCTTTGCATTGGCTACCAGTATGTTACCAGCTAAGTTCAAGGTGTTACTGCTATTGTATAAATTCCTAGAACCAGGTGACTTGAAGGACCACCTTGTCCTTTATACAGTGCCACAGTCATCTCCAGAAGCCCTCCTGACTCTCCCACCATCATCTCAAATTCATTCCATTTCTATGCGAACCAAGGCTTTCAGCATAGCGGCAACCACCGCTTTTGGGGCACTGTTCCTTTTGAAATCAGACAGGCACCTGCAATCCTGATATTCCATTTCCCACTGAAAGCATTTTGGTTTTGCTGAGCTGTTTTGGGAGAATTCCTTTGTTCTGGCATTGTGTGTTTTAAAATGTTCTATAATGATTTTTATCGCACACGACCCATATATATATTATATATATATAGTGGTGGTTTTCAATATTTTTTACAAAATAAGTAAATTAATTAAAACTGTGGAGTCCTGAAACTGTATTTGCCTAGCACCTGCTTCAAATAAAAAAGGCAGGTGGGTTTTTTATTTATTTAAAAAAACTACTTTATTTTCTCAGGTTTTAATCAACGCATCGTGGCTGGGTTTTTTGAGCTGCTTTGGAACTGCTGTTGTCGCATGATGAATTGCTTTGTGCTGTATTCTCAGTTGTATCAAAATGTGTATTGTAGCTGTTTTACTGCATTTTTAGTTAAAACAAAAATATTGCGCTCTCTCTCTCTCTATCATCCCTTCACCATCTGGTGCTGTAGCTGCTTGGGCAGCTGGGGGGGTTGAGCAATAGGGCTAGTGACACCCCTGAGAAGGCACACAACCTGCTCAGCTAAAACCCTGGGGCGTTGCTGCCTTGTTCGTTTGCCCCACGCCTTCGGGGCTGTGCGTGCCGAGCTCTGACTTTCCGCTTTTCCTCTTCTGCAGTGGGAAGAAGTGAGTGGCTACGACGAGAACATGAACACGATTCGGACTTACCAGGTGTGCAACGTCTTTGAATCCAGCCAGAACAACTGGCTGAGGACCAAGTTCATCCGCAGGAGGGGCGCCCACCGCATCCACGTGGAGATGAAGTTTTCGGTCCGGGACTGTAGCAGCATCCCCAACGTCCCCGGGTCCTGCAAGGAGACCTTCAACCTCTACTATTACGAGTCCGACTATGATGCCGCAACCAAGACGTTCCCCGCCTGGATGGAGAACCCCTGGGTGAAAGTCGACACCATTGCGGCAGACGAGAGCTTCTCCCAGGTGGACCTGGGGGGCCGCGTGATGAAGATAAACACCGAGGTGCGCAGCTTTGGGCCCGTCTCCAAGAATGGCTTTTACCTGGCCTTCCAGGACTACGGGGGCTGCATGTCCTTGATCGCCGTCCGCGTCTTCTACCGCAAGTGCCCTCGCATTATCCAGAACGGAGCTGTTTTCCAGGAGACGCTCTCGGGGGCCGAGAGCACGTCACTGGTAGCAGCTCGGGGTACTTGCATCCCCAATGCTGAAGAAGTGGATGTACCGATCAAGTTGTACTGTAACGGGGATGGGGAGTGGCTGGTCCCCATTGGGCGCTGCATGTGCAAGGCGGGCTACGAATCGGTGGAGAACGGGACGGTCTGCAGAGGTAAGATGACCTTCCATCAAGGGGCCATGTGGCTCCTCTGTGGTGGGTGCGTGGGGCAAGGAAAGGGAGAGGGAGCGGGATTATCTGCCTCATCTCGTGTCAGGGAATGGTCTGAAGAGGGAGAACTGGAGGGAGAAGAGTCACCCCTCTTGGCCACAGCGTGTTCAGAAGCAGAGAGAGAGAGAGGAGCTGAACAGCTTAGCGGGGAGTTATCTAGTTATGAGATAATGACAACAGAACCAGACAGGAGGGAGCAGCTAGTTGAAATGTCACTGGAGAGTGTGAGGGACCCCCACCACCACCACGGACTCAGAGGTCCGAATGTATCAGACAGCAAAGGAGTCAGAGGGAGGGAGGAACTTCCCATTGGCGCCCAAAATGCTGTGGAAGTCAGAAGGAGGATTTAGAGTAGCCAACTGCCCTCCTTGCAGAGAGCTGTGTATTTGTGCTCCCAACATGACGCTGTAATAAAAGGACTATAAATCTATCAACTGCTCGTTAATTCTTATCGGTGAAGTTACTGAAGGGAGGGGAGGACTCTCCATGCCTGACACCTTGCGATGGACGGCCGATTCGGAATTGGTTCACTAAAAAGCTGTTGGGTCAAAGGGAGATGGTGGGGAGGACTCACAAAAATGTAGCAAGTATATGCTGAAAAGGGACCCGGGTGGCGCTGTGGGTAAAAGCCTCAGTGCCTAGGACTTGCTGATTGAAAGGTCGGCGGTTTGAATCCCCGCGGCGGGGTGCGCTCCCATCGCTCGGTCCCAGTGCCTGCCAACCTAGCAGTTCGAAAGCACCCCCGGGTGCAAGTAGATAAATTGAGACCGCTTACTAGCGGGAAGGTAAACGGCATTCCGTGTGCTGCGCTGGCTCGCCAGATGCAGCTTGTCACGCTGGCCACGTGACCCGGAAGTGTCTGCGGACAGCGCTGCCTCCCGGCCTCTAGAGTGAGATGAGTGCACAACCCTAGAGTCTGTCAAGACTGGCCTGTACGGGCAGGGGTACCTTTACCTTTATATGCTGAAAATGCCAGGGTCATTTTATCACATGGGGTAGTCCTGTGAAATGGCGAAGGGCTTTTGGGAAATAATTGATATGGGAAATAATGAATTGAAAAGGATGTTTAAACTAATAAATCCCGAAAGCCTTTTTACTTGGAATAATGGGGACAGAGCTCTCAAGAAAGATGACAAGCTTATTTAGACACAGTGGTACCTTGGGTTACAAACAGTCCTGCTTACAAACGCTTTGGGTTACAAACTCCACAAACCCGGAAGTAGGTGGCCCGGGTTATGAACTTTGCCCTGGGATATGAACGCAATCCACTTCTGGGGCCATGGAAGGCCGATGTAGGGAATGCATGCCTCGGGTTAAGAATGCTTCGGGTTAAGAATGGACTTCCAGAATGAATTAAGTTTGTAACCCGAGGTACCACTGTATGTGAAAACAGCTGCTAGAACTTTTGTATGCACAGAACTGGAAAGGGAAAGGATGACCAAGTAAGAAGGAATGGCTTATGAAACTGATGAACTATGGTGAAATAGCAAAATTAACTGCCAGATTAAGAGGACATAATGACAAAGTGTTTAAGGAAGAATGGAGGTCACTGATGAATTATGTATCAAATTATCACCCATATATGAAGTCGCAGGCAGGATTTGAAATATAAGCAGTGGATTATTGAAAGATTAAATGGCTGCGGGTTTAGGTAATAAAAATGTGTGCGTTATAAAGCACACTTTATTAAAAAGGAGTAAAAAACAAGCATCAGGAAAGCAGGGGTAGGAAGTCAAGGAGAAACTTTGCATGTTAAAAAAATGTATATGCTGATAAATGCTTTGAAATGTTTTTGGAGACTTCATAAAAATGATATAAAAAAGGGGGGATAAGGGATAAGAAGGGACTTTCCATCTCATCTTGTGGTGGTCGTCAGGTACTCGATACAGAACTTGATTCAGTGGCTACCCATGTCCTCAGAGAAGATGAAACAGTGTTGTTGTTGCATTTATGTCACACCTCTTTCTCCAAGGAGTTCAAAGTGGCCAACATGGTTCTCCCCCTTGTCATTTAATCTCCACAACAACCCTGCAAGGTAGCTCAGGCTGAGAGGCAGTGACTGGCCCAAGGTCACCTAGTGAGTTTCATGGCTGAGTGGGGATTTGAACCCTGGTCTCCCAGGTCCTAGTCCCACACTCTAACT